AAAAAAGAAGAAGAAGAATAGATAGAAGAGAGAGAGAGAGAAAGAGAGAGAGAGAGAGAGAGAGAGAGAGAGAGAGAGAGAGAGAGAGAGAGAGAGGGGGGGGGGGGGGGGGGGGGGGGGGGGAGGAGGAGGGGAAAGTCAGATGGAGTTATAGAATGAAAGATAATCCATAAGAAGGAGAGAAGGAAACCCCTTTCCAAAGTTTTGATGACCTTGGCAAATCCAGCAGCTGAACTTGATTGTGGCAGCTGTTTGGGCCAGAAAACAAAATAGAGAGTTTAAAGGGGTACAGCCGCAACCTTGAGGACTGACAACAACACTCACTCAAGATAGAGCAAAGTGTTGTCTCATTTCCAGAGAAAATATCCCACCACTTTCCTTCCTTCTCTCCCTCCCTTCATCATCCCATCACATCGCTATGACAACAGCTGGCTACACAATAGTCGTCGGAGCAAGCCCAGACTTTTGGATCTGTCGGTAAGGGTCTGGATGGGGAGGAAGTCCAAGATTTGTAGCCCAAAGCCTCTCTGCCAGGGTCCAGTACCCTAGTCGATGATGGACTATCTCGGGGATCGGTGCCAAACTTTTGGTTGGACAGCCTTGATTTTAGGAGTGCTTCTGTAGATTAGTTGTGATTAGTTGTGGGTTGGGGTACGAGGGGCTTATTGATCCATGGATTCTCGATCAACAGGTCTGCATTCAAATATCACCAACTGATGCAAACAGTTATTTACAGTAAAATAAGCAGCAAACATCTAGGGTATTGATTTCATCAGCACTTTCTCATATCATTCACATCCTAACAAGTGCTAAAACACGATTTTTATCTTATTTTGGTGGAAAACATAATATGGCCTATAAAAAAAGTAAGCACCTGGTTTTATAGTTCCCAATCCTGTCAGGATCTAAGTATTGGTGATATACTCGACTTTACCTGGTTGTAAATAGTTTAACCCTTAGCATACCATTCCAATAATAAAAATGTTTGGCGGTTCATACATCATAAGAGCAATGTAGTTTTCTAACTCATCTTTTTAAATGTTACAGGATATCAGTTACGCACTCAATGTCAATTCTTGGAAATCAATGCATCTAATATCTAAAATAAAATTTTAGGGACAAAAAGAAATAGAAATAAGTTACCATTCTATCCCCCCCCCCCCCAAAAAAAAGGGGGAAGTGTTAAAAACAATCGGCTACCGCATACGGATATGGAAATATTACCGCACATGAAGAAATGCGTGTGAACGAAAGGAAGTCCAAGATTTGTCATTAAATCTCTTTCCGAATGCACAGCTTCACAATGATGAAAGGATTCTTTGCTCATGCATTTTCATGAAAATAGAATTATTTTCAAAAATAAAAGAATGAAAAACATTTCCTTTCCCACATCACTTGTTTTCTCACATGTTCCAGGCTCTCTGCTACCCACCGCCATAATTAAATCCTTTAAGTCTAACGAAATATTAATTTACTCACATACTCTGATCATGCACCCATCCTTTCATGGGAAATTCTACTTAACTGCTGGCTCAGATATAAATCCTTGGAAATATGAATAGCACTGGCAGTTTTCTCTTTTCTTCATTTATAAGAAATGGAAAACATTTGAGCCATTTCTTGAGAATTCAAAGAGCTCAAGCAATGACTTAAAGTTTTAGATTTCATGTTCTTCAAAAAGCAGAAACCACCAGGTACGCTTCTCTCTGTATGCACTCGAAAGCATTTGCTTAGAGCCAAAAGGGCATTAAATATTCGGTACTTAATAAGAAACACTTAATAGTGCCCTTCTGCCTCTCAGCTAACTAAGTATTTCCAGGAACCTAATCCCTCTTTGGATATTCCTTGCGCTTGATCACGAGGTAGTGAGCAAGTAATTTCAATTTGGTCTCATCACCTGATCTTGGATTAAGAAAGCTTCTCTAATTACCCCTTGATCCAACCACGTAGCAATGCAGTGAATCACTAGCATCAGTCATACAACGTCTTAGTCAAAGCTTCCCCAGGTACTTCATTTAACAAACTCTTAGCTCTCGACTTGATTAAAGCGTGAAGGCAATACTTAGAATACTTAAAAATTGAGGGAATGTTTAAGAAAATTCACAAAACTCAAAATAAGAATACAATCTTCCTCTGATTTGATAGGTAATCATTACTTCTTTATCCATATTGCTTAGAGGTAAAAATCAGAGGTAAAAAATCACAGGTAAAGGCATTAATGTTGTTAAAAAGCACTATAGTGCACCATTTTAGAATTCAATTATTCTACGTTATGTTTTTTCCATCCCCTTCACTCCCTTTCACCCTTTGTGCTCCTTCTATGCTTGTCAAAATTAGTTTTCATTTAACCTATTGAAAGTTGGCATGTTATGACTTTTTGTTTTACTGTTTCACCTGAGAAGTGTTTATCAACAAAAGTAAGTTCACTTTCTTAGATAACTTTACATGACTTGTGGTCTCTATGCAATTGATTTATAAGATTACTTTCATTATTACTTTAGCAAATTGGCATCAGAACTTTCCCAGGTTTATCTCGCACTGGTTTAGCCAAGATCTACGAAGAACAAGTCAGAAGTGAAAGGCAAAGAAGATCCAAGAAAGATAAATAGATGGAGGTGCGAAAGGAAGGGAACAAGACAGGTGTGTCCCGCCAAAGGATCAGCCCACGAGGGGTAATGACTCACACCCCTCTGTGAGGATAGGGGCCAAGGAATGACAGGGAATGGGCACTAGGGAGGTACAATAGCTCCCAAGGAGGACAGAGAAACCCAGTTAAGGACACTGTAAGTGATTAATTAAATCACTTTCAATGAAGATTAGGAGAGGCAGTTTGGAGACAAGCACAGAAGATTCAAAACAAGATTACCTTGGTTGGATAAAGAATTCTGGCAGAAGAGTTTTAGATAACTAGAAAGGATCTTACCTCCAGAAGTCTCTAGAGACAAAAAATTACTTATTACACCCCTCCCCCAAAATAAAATATAAAGCTGGCTCCTAATTCTTTTTTTCTCCAAGATATTCAGATGGCCAGATTTTCCTAACAATCCCAAATAACAATGAAAAAGCATCTTTGATTCAAAAAGAAAATATATACTTATCATACTGCCATGTAATACCATAGAGAAACCATTAAGAAAAACACTCTTTGTTGCTCTTTAAAGGGATCCGGTAACTTTGTCTCAGATTCTGAAACAAAATTCTGGATTTAGCTCATGATGCAATGATAATTATAAACCTTTAGGTCAGTCAGGAACCCCATGACTTTTACAAGCCGATCGCCCGTCTGATTATCAAGATATTTATGATTGGAATTACAAATTTTGAAAACCGTTCGCCTGACGGTTTTCATAACACTACAGTCTATTGGGGAAAACGAGTATGGTAAAACCGGTCACTCAAAGATTTTTACTTTTTTGAGGCACTTCTTGATCATTTTGAAGTGCAATTTTTTTAGGGATTCAATATTACACCATATCACAGACACTTATAACACGTAGGGCCGTGTATCTCAGATTTAACATTGTTAAACGATCCCTTTAATGAACACCGGTTTACTCAGAAGAAAGGATGTTAAGAAGATGTGCATTAGTAAATACAAGGTTATCTAATGCCTTGAGTGACAATGTAATCAATGACATTGACACTAACAGAGAAGACGAATGGAGTGGAAGAGGGCCAAGAGAGAAGGGGGGCAACAGGTGGTAGAACACACCAAGGGGTGCCACCAGGGGCGCTGAATCACACCTCATCATCAAACTTCATAGGAGAAGGGGTTAATTGTAAGGACTCGGTGGTGGATGGGAGGGAAAGAGATGGGGGTAAGTAAGGGTAGATATAGGTGTAGAATGCGGTACACATAGGTTGAAGTCACTCCATTGTGACAGGGGTAACAGAGTTGGAAGGCACTGGGGATGATATGCAAAACTGAGGATGGCATAGATTCTTAACCAAAGTTCAAACGTAAATCATTGAATATATAATGGACAAGACCTTCATCACCTTGAAGAATTATAACCCCTGTGAAAGTGCAATCAGATTTTCAAATTAAAGGTAGCGTATCCCTACTGCAGATTTCTGCAAACATCATGTCATTTGGCAGAGATCACGAATATCCTTTAACAAGTACTGTTAGTAAATCTACAAGGGAGCTAAAAACTACAAAACCTGTATAAAGATGAACCATTATTAATACTAATATCAATGGGGGGGGGGGGGGTGGTAAGGTAAAATTGGTAATTTCAAGGTTCAAGGTTATCATGAGGGTCAAAGGGAGAGTACATTTATGTGGGCCTAACCACACGATAGCAAATTTATTTTGCTGATCATATAGAACAGCACGACTTTGGTTGAACATATAGTAAGAGTTTGACTGCCGAGACCCCACCGACTGTGAATAATTGATCTTGACTCATCAAGGCGAGAGGGCAAATGGCAACAGGTAGGCACTAACTTGAAGTATAGTTTTGACATAGGGCCAACAGGTTACGCACAGATCTGTCACAACATGGAGCATAATCTGTTATGAAATTTACAGGTCAGCTGGGACCTACAAAGTCATGGTATGTCATTCCAACTTCACATGCATGAAATCTCCTACTCTCTATTTTTTTCTCACAAAACTCTGCTTGTCTAATAATTCTACTATTCAAGGCACTGTCAGTCATTTATATGGAAAACGATTAATTTGAAGAAAGGCCTGATTGTCATCGTTATCAAGATATTTTTTTTCCTCCCAGATAACTAGGGGGAGCACATCCAGTAACTCACTTCCATGTATTCTCAGTTTTAATTCATACTGTGTACTACTTCTACTTCTACTACATCTATTTCTTCTACCTCTAGTACTCTGCCAACACCTTTAAACCACTGCATCTACTTCTACCACTTATATATATATTAACAACAAGATAGATGTGCATGGACACCAACTCCTGCTCAATATGTCTAGAGAATTCACCATCTTCTGTTCTTATATTATGGGATGGAACCCGTTGTCCTACCTTGTTTTCTGTCCATGGACAAAGAGAGGTCTTCCGCTGACCGGTTCTACAGATTTGTACATGAGCTGATACCTCTGGGCATCCACAAGGTATCGGTCAATCTGGCCAGGTCTGATCAGGCTGCTCTGCACTTCACTACAACCCTGCAGAATAAAGAAAATATCGAGATATAATTGATTTAGTAAAGAATAACAATAATATCTACATAGAGAGCTATATTTCATAGTGAAAGGATGTGGGGGAGGAGAAGGGGGGGGGGGGGGTGAATGTATTTTGTCCCATACTTTAAATTCTGGTCAGATTAAAGACATTAGCATACCTGATGATTGGATTAAGTTGATAGTTTTAATAGAGCTGGGGTCAGCTAAATGTAAAAAAATGACTCATGTTGATGTTAATCATGTTCATTGTTCTCTTATACTTGGATACTCAGGAATATATGGGACACCAAATTTCCAAGTACTGTGGGCTTGTCCATTCATAATGTGCCCTTTCCCTGTAGAATGCAAGCCACAAATTTATTAAAACCATTTGTTATCAAGGTGAAATCACTAAGGCTCTTTTGAATATCTGCCTATCAAGAAGGCCTTTCAATTCCTTGAATATTCAGAATATCACATCATCACAAGAATAAAAGAAAATGAAAAGGAATAACAAGTCCCTTCAACAAACAGTGAACCTAATATTCCTAAATCATATAAAAACCAACAAGTCCTGTGCTGACTTGCAGAAAACAATCGCCACCATTTGGTCACTGTCATATGATGTGACGCATGGCTGCTTGATTAAAGTTGACATAATGGTGATGACTGGAACCACAAAGTATCTCAATTATCTCATAAACAACTGTTGAAAACCCAATAAACTTTGATAGAGTGCAAAGCAGAAATGTGTTCTCTTTTGGTAAAGAGGAGGGAAGCTCAATTACAATTAATTTATGAAACAGCAGGACGAACACATGCAGCCCTATACAAGGTCAACTTCTTCATTCATGAAAATCTGTAATATTTTCATTTGAATATTGGCCCATTTATACAGCCCCAAACCATTTTAAAAACATTAATATTTTGGACTGCCATTTACACTATTGATAAAACCTTCATGTATAAGAAACCGTCAGTGTTTGATAATTCTTTTTTTTAAATGTGGACGAGTTATGTGCATGCGACACTTCTCGTTGCCCTTCATGTGTTAGCAGGGAAGTGAGGAGAGTCATGTGACCAAAATACGAAGTCATTCACTGATACTTTGAGATTGAGCATTTATTCTGAAAAAAAAAAGTTTCAAAAAACACAAACTCCAGAGGTGACTTACTCAATTTGGGTTATTTGTCGTGTTCACCAGTAGAAGTTTGGGAACTTCCAACAAACCATAGGAATGTTAGACAAATCGACGATCCTTCCTTACAGTGTAAATGCGCTATGGTATCCCACATGACACAACATTTATTGTTCTATTCTGGTATGAACTCAGGAAAATTTTAATTCATTTTGTTGATAGTCCCATGTCTATCTATACTGCAGAGATATCATCACCACCTACTACCTCCATAGAGTCCTGGTAAATGAGAGATTGTATTACCAGGTTATAAATCTGATGGATTGAGGTAATCAAAAAGAAGGCTAGCAATGCTTATGCGATAAATATATCAAGAAATAAGCCAATGGATATAAAGAAACCATAAACCTGTCACCAGCATTATAACTTTCCATCTTACAGCAGCTAACTTGTGTCCAAGCCTGATTTGCATCAATACTATTATCAGCCTCAAGTAATTTACTTTGAAGAACTTCTATGGCCACTGTTACTATTTGCCTTCTCCCTGAAATGACCATAAACTAAATTGAACGAGGGCAAATTGTTTCCTTGAACATAATTAACTTATAAATGAATGATCAAAATGGTGAAAATGAAATTTACAAGTACAGAAAACATTTTGGCTCTTGCGAAAATAAAATTAAGTGAGACCATGTGAGCGTAGGTATTAAAACTTTTATGAGCAGCCAGCGGAACATTTTTTGCTTTTGTTGTAATGCTGTTGCTACCAGCACCTCACATTTTTGGCAGGAGTCCCAGAAGAGGAGAAGAAATACCGCCCCCTCTAAAATTGGGTGGCCTGCTCATGGAGCGGAGTTTGAAGAAATTCAGCTGGAATGTGACACCATCGATATGCCCGCAGGAAAAAAAATCAGAGTGCGATCTGATAGTCGGAATCACCTTAAGCAAAAATGACGGCGCAAAAATCTGACTTTTACAATGAGAAACTATCACTAGAATAGTCTAGAAACATCTGAATTATTATTTAAAACACGTCATAAAAGTCTCCCCCTTTTTTGAGGGGGGAGGGTCAATTTGTGAGGGCACACCTATTCCTTACAAGGGCACATCTATCCCTGACAGCTATGAGGCTCACCTACACTAGCCTACTTCCTACGATAACCTCTTGCTCAATTGTCTGAATCACATACCCATTGTTTTGCTCTACACGGTGGGCGCATACAACAGCTTGGGTAAGGCATAGAGAAAATACTTTGACAGATGGGCTAAGATACGCTTAAGGTGAATGGGAGGGCATCCCTAAGTGAATTGCTTGTCCCACTCTGCAATAACATGACCAGCATGATAGTATGTTTTGAGAGAGAGGCCCAGCTAGTCAAAAGGAAGATAATGTAGAACACATGAATACCATCACATGGTGCATGTACATTCATTGCCATGATTCAATAATTCATAATGATTAAATTTGCAAAATCTGTCCTGATTCAAAAGTAAACTTGATATGCTGGTAATAATAGCTCCAACGCCATACGCTTTCATAATTATCATAGCACTGACCAAAGGGAAAACATTTACAGTCTGATAATCATCTCTGTCATATTTTGTAAAAGATCTTATGAGATCTCACAGTAGCGTAAGACAGATCAATGAAACCTGAACTTTAAAAACATCCACAGAGCTCATCAGCTCGCCATCGTCACGTCATGAGGCTTGACTTCATGTTATAGCAAGCATTAACCATAACCCTTCCTAGGCACCAAACAGAATGTTCTAAAACCCACATCACAGTTATCAGCCTTAAAACCAAATTTGCAACCTAATTGGACCGTTGATTGATTGCACTGCTCTGATCGAATCCCAACACCCTATAGCTACCAAGGGAGCAGGAGAGATGCATTGGTATGGCCCCCTCGCTTGAGCCGCTCGATCCCCGACACAAATGATGACATGTGTGGTGCACATTAGCACCCTGTTTGTATGCGCTAGGCTCTCTCTGCACAAACGTGACAAAATCCATTAGATAATCATTGCTCTGCCCTTATTTCCCCCTACTCTTCCTCGACCGACCCAGTCGTTTTCACTGGTAAGCTGCTCCGGAGCAACATTTGTGTTGTTGTTCGTCGGTTTCGCTCTAGTCACTTGGGATCAAGGGAGGATGGTTAAGGTTTCTTGCCGTTCCTAAGACCCCAATTTCTCATCACTTCATCCAACTTTCCAAACTGTTCCCCCACCCCCTGTTCCTCTCCCCCTCCCCTCCAAACGCTCTATTTTCGGTTTAAGATGTCCTGGCAGTATCTAGGTCATGATGAGAGGTGTCCGTTTCAGGGGTAAGACATCAGGCCATCCAAGGTCATGTCAGCTAGATCCTTTCACATCCTTACTTCTTCTTTTAGGATGAAAAGATGATGGAGGAAAAAGGAACAAGTCTACAAAGTGTAAAGCAGCTAAGATCCCCATCAGGTGTGCATTTAAGACAGACCTAGGAGTAGCTAAAGACGCAGCAGGGTCTTTTCTTCGTACGTTTAATTATTCCCATTCTCATATCCATATATAATTTACACAAATCTATCAAGAAATGTTAATTGTTTTAAGAGATCCTCATCCAAAAAGCAGAAAAAAGTATATTGCTTCAAAATGTCCATTATAATTTCTCCAAATTTTCTCCAATGGAAAATGTGTTCTGACATAATTATTCTGAATAACAGTTGGGGAAGGGAAGGTGCTGACATACAACTAGGAATTCAACAAGCTCTGGGCCCCCAAATTTGTGAAATTTGAGGCCCTTTGCTTTGGTGCTAAGTGAAGGCAGGAGATACTCGAAAAGATATTATATTGCGTCTGTTTTATGAGACGAGACATAAATGGGCCAGACCTATGACAAAATGTAACCTTACACAGGCACTACAATTCTTCCTCTTCAACCCTTCTCCCCTTAATGTATTTTGTTGTGAATCTGGGATAAGTTAATACAATGTATTAACAAAGTAATGATTGAAGAGCATTGAGGAAGCATGATAGAAATGGATCAAGGCAATGACAAGATGTAACTTTATACAATAGCATTCATTTCACAATTCCCAGTGCAATGTATACTGCCATTCAGAAATATGAATTCTTAAAGATAAAAAAAGAAATAGGAGATATAATGTTACAGCGATTCCTAAAACAACTGGGAGCTTTCTCTTCAAAAATGTGAAAGTATTGATAAGGTTTTTTGTCTACATTGTCCATTATTCATATAAATATAAAAACTGATAACTTTTTCAAATTTTTATGGAAAATTTACATTGTTAACACAGTAATTAAGCTTGTGAACTCACTTATATGTTGACACTTCACAACAATACCTCAGCAATACGAAAAGATTGACAATTATTGATCGGCAAGGAAAGCTCATTTGGGTGAGCGTTAGACTGAAGATGGACTATTAAGCCTCAACCACTTTCCTTCCTACCATGTAATACATCACCCTCCTGAACACTTTGAAAAGTCAAGAGAGCAATGTTAGAAGGAAACAGAGCAGAATCAAGAGTATGTTATCCTTCAGTGGCATCGACATGGCTTGGGTAATCACATGATTAGATGCGATGCAAGTGGAACAAGGCAACGAAAAGAAAGAAACCGAACCCGGCCAGTTTTCAATTCCACTTCTCCCGATTTTTGACCAGGGAGATTCCTCGCAAACTGCAGCATGCTTGAGATGAAATTAGAGGATGAGGATGAGTGATGAGTGGTCGGGACTTGATCAATTTTACTCAAGATGGCACCCAAGAATGGGACCATGGTATTCTCACTGTACAAGGATGTTTAGGCATTGGTATCATCAACCTAACATGGTGTGGTGGAAGATGGTTCATTTCGATTT